CGCTATGACACAGCCACCCGCTGACTGGAAAGTGCACTGTACCTGGACTACAAACCAGCACCGGTTCCTGCACCAGCAAGGGGCAGAAACGCTGTCACCTCTTGTTTGGTGACCTCATGCTGGTTTGGAACAGAGCACGAGCAACCTCATCAGGTGGTCGGGCCCTCGTACGACGGCCAAACCATGACGATTTTTCCACTGACACGCCACCAGTTGTCTCGCGAGCCGTGCTCCCCTCCGAAATGGAAAAGCCACTAAAGCCCCGAGGGAATGATCACGTGTTTATTAGCGCCCTCTGTTGGCATCCCCTGCCCGAGAACTGCATGCCGGACGCCTAAGGTTGCAGGCCAGTAAACAGCTGCCAAAAATGCCTGCGCGGACCAAATCACGATTTGTAGGCTGTCAAATTCTCTGCTATTAGAGCATTTCGTGGCAACTGGACTGGGTGGTTTATTTTAAAAGGAGGATGAAATCTACCAGCAGGACTTCCAACTTGTATTTCTGAAAGTATCGGACAAAATGGGATCCTCCAAATCGCTATATTTTGCAATGGAGTGTAGGCATCAGTTTTCAAAATGGCGATGGGCCTCACGACTGTTTTGAGGGATGATTTTCTCTGGAGAGAAATATCTTCAAAAGTCTTCTTTTAAGCCACTGAAAACGGAAAGAAAAATGAAAGATGAGGAAGTGAGCTTTTTAATTTGATATGTGTCTTTAAAACCTAAGAGACTTGTATTTTTGCTGATTTTTTGAAGTGGGGATATTTATGTTGCCTATGGCAGCTTCTTTACTGGTCAGCACTCGTACCCCTAAGCCTCAACGAAAGAAACGCTTGTTGAATGTAACCTGTTTTAATTAGTCTTCAAAATGCCCCACTAGCGATCCTGGTAGCATCATCGCAGCTCATTTTGTGATTTGCCATTCCTCCGCGAAACAACACTTGAAACTGATAATGCAAATCCTCTTTATAGAGTCTGCAAGGCGAAATGCCCGACCGCCCCAGCCAGCTTCCAGCATTGACGGTGACACCAACCGAAGCTCTCTCCCAGGGTGCCTTCAAAATTGTGCCAAAGACAGTCCTAAATGATGCACTGTACGGTCTGAGATGATACAGGACATGAGATATCACCGTACAGTTCTGGTCTGGAAATACTGCTTGATGCCAAGGCAGTTAAATTATAAAAATACGTGGATCAGTTCTGTTTGTACTTCATTTCTCTTTTCTGCCACAAAACATGCCCTTTTCTGGCCCCTGATTTGTTTCTTTTTCACAACATCGTGTTTTCATCATTGTCCTTGGTGAGTACTGCTCTTTATGGTAAACGCCAGAAATCCGTAAGAGACATTCAGGGCGTCGGAAGCTTCATCCGCTGCAGGAGTTCAGTAGCCATGGAAGTCGACAGACTTTTACGTTTTCTTTTGACCTTAACTTGAAACAATGGAGATTGCTTCTTTATGTTGAACTAATTCAGTCGACAAAAATTGCTCAGCTTGAAGACTAATTTCCTTGAGAATGTGTGTGCAGTTATGGATATGTCTACCACACACTACAGAAGCGAAGTCAGGGAAAAATTGTGGGTGTAACCTAGCGACACAGTCTAGAGACAGACGCCCAGTGCCCGAAGATTTAGTCATAAAACAGCGTTCAGCTTAAAAAGACAGAGCCAGATAAACACAGAGATAGAGTGTTGTGCCAAGCTCGTTACACAAAAAGCAGCATTTCAGAAAAAACCACAAATGTATATTTCGAGGACTAGACTTTTGTTCTACAAAAGAAAGTTTTGTAGAACAGTGAGTCGAAATAATTATGCACGGGGAACTGGTTTGATGCGGCCAGAAATCGGCCTGAAGACGGAACCGAACGTAACTGTCGCTGGAAGTCTTTGGTTCCTCTAGAACTCCGATATATTTTAGCAGTAGGCTAATGTCACGTGAGAATTTCTGAAATGCACCATCATTTTTTTAATTGATGGTTTTATTCAATTTTTGTATTTGTTGGCGGCCAAAGTTTAGAACTTGACATCTCAGTGTAGTCCACTGGACCGCGCCTAGGTGGCAGCGCTCACGACATCAAATCGAACTTCATGCATTGTGTATACTGCTACGAGATTTTCAGATAAACTTCCACATTTTGAATATTGTTATGCTACATGCACATAACATCTGATCTATCAGCTTTTAAAACCACCAAACGAAAAAAAGGGTTGAAAAGTTAAAGGAAGGCAGAGGACAAACGGTCTTTGAACTCGCGAGAGGTCTAGTGAACTCTCTGTGTACCCAAGAGAAGAAAAAAGGGGCAGTCTGGGAAACATGCATAATCGTTGACCGTCTGGAAATTCCTGCCAAAGCTTCTGCAGTCTGGGGTCGTCTGATCTTTTATTTTTCCGAGCCAGCGGGTTTACGGATCAGGCTCGATGACGGAGTGAGTGAGCCCCGGGAGATCAGAGCGCTCGGCTGCTGGTTGGCCGCTCTGCTAAGTCCTTGGTAAACTCCGAGGATGGTCCGGCTTGGTTCTGGCTGAGTGGGAAACTAGAGCGCGCCGGACGTGAGGAGGGAGGATGTATGAAGATTCCCGACAGAAGAAGTCAGCCGACCAGGTTGAGTTCCGATCGGATTCTTGTCGAGTCTCTACCGAATTGGGCACTCAAATATTACGCTCTCGATCGACGTATATGGTTGTACGTCCACCCACAGCAATTTTTTTTTATCCCCGATTGGGCTGATAATGTGAGGGCCAAATGCAGAAAAAACCCATGGGGATATACCTTTTGTTGAGCAATAATTACCAATGTGCTCCTTTGATTGAGGACTGGGGGGTCCGAGAGTATAACCCAAACAGGTCATATGCTGATTGATAAGGAATCCTCTTCAAACAAAACTCCCATTAGCGTGCATACATTGTTGCAAAGCAAAAATGTTCTGTTGCAAATTGTTACACATGGAACTCTTTTTAGTCTCTAAGCCGTAAAGTACATTCACTATCTTGAGAGTTTAAAGAAATTAAAATTACTCGTATTGATGAAGGTCCACTTCATTGTTGATGGCGTCTTGACTTTTTTCCCCAAGGCAGAATTTTACCATTTTAAATCCACAGTGAAACATAAACAACAACAAATTTACACAGCGGCAATGTTACCATTTATTCTTTAAGCTTGAATGTATTTTTGGATACTATGGATGCATATTTATCCTTTTCAAAATACCAACTCCTCCATTTTCACGCATGACCACAAATTATTGTTACCGACCGAAGCACTTAGCAAAGACCAACCTGCTTGGCCTGTTTTGTTCACAGCCGGCGCAAAATGCCCATACTGACCAATTACATCTGCTGATGGACTGTCGACGATTGCCAAAGATGACGCGCCGCTTCCCTCCATTTCAGTTTTTACGATATTGAAATAAACAAACCTGAAGTCGCCGAAACACAAAAGACTTTGAATGCGATCCCACAGACGCGCCGTGGACACGCACATCCCGTACTGCTCGTAATGCCATATCCAAGTCCGTAAATCTTGCAAATGTGTATGCAACATTATGACATCTTTACGACTGGGTTGCTGCAAGGAGATGGCGTGATTTACACCTATTTAAATGATTGGTCACCCCCGAGTCAGCCAAAGTGTATGTTTGCACCGACTGTTTAACTGCTGGTTCGACTTGAACTTTTTCTTGCCTCCCTGAGCTTTGTTGTTTTATGCTAAGGGGACCCAGCGATGCAATTTGTCAATTTTGTGGGGGCAGCCGTATGCGGTTTTGTGATATCGTCCGTCTGGTTTCTGTTCTCTGCTCTTTCCATTTTTGCAGGGATCGTGAATTTGAAGGGGATGGAGTTGTGTTACTGTGGGTGGATGTTCGTTGTTCGGGTAGGAATGTGGTGATGACAGAGTGCTGAGAGATGGTGACGCTGGTGATGTGATTATCCTGGTGGTGATTATGGTGATGCCTAGTCGTGACGGCGGCGATGTATGATGAAAGTGTCCTTACTGACAGCGACGATGAAAACAACAAGAATGACAAAAATAAAGGGGGGGGTAAATATGATGACAGGAATGACCGAAAATGAAGGTTGAAAAGAAGGACTCATGGAAAACTGAGGAGGATAACAAAACAGGAAGTCAAAATGGAAGCCTCTCCAAAATTGGAGTGAATAAACGAACTGTACCAGCGTCCCGCTGCCTGTTATTTTAACTTTGCCCGTTTCTTCTCGAGACATGCCTTAAAACCATTAGGCCACCTGAGTAATGTGTTGTGACTCAATTGAAAGTAACGAACTGTTTGGTTAGATCCCTCTCCATGCCTGTGTCCCGCTGTTAAATAAACGGAACCCTTGTGCCTAAACTGGAGTGCTCTCCGCGGAACGCAGAGTGCACTCGTCACTGAAAACCACAAAAGAAGAGAACCAGGCCTCGGCTTAAACCCTTCCCCTCTCAAGAAAGATTCAATTCATTTTTTCCCCTCTTTAGCCTTTTTCTTTTGCCTTTTATCTTCCTTTGCGTCACTTGAGCAACTTTGGCCGAGTGTTGTGTTATCTCTTTCCCTTAACAACGCAAAACGTGGAGGAACCGACTATTAAGGAGCATGGGCAGACCCAGCGGTGCAGTAAGCGGCCTGGTAGCTACGCACGCAGCGGGGCGCGCAGGAGAATCGCGGGGCCACAACAACCGCTGATTGGCTAAGTGTTTACGCAGGCAATCCCGGCATGCCCCGCGCAGCAGTCTGGCACCGAGGGTGAGTTGTGGGCATTGTTGGGGAAATCTGTCAAAATACAGGCGTGCCGAGCATCCATTCAGCGTTCAAAAGGTGCCATTTTTCACGCGCGGGATTTGTTTACTTAAATGGGTGGTCAATTTCTTTTAAGCAAAATTTCAAAATAAACACGGCGGCCAACGACTTGGGTGGGCACGTTTAATTGATGTGGGGATTTTATAAACAAACCCAAGAGACGAGAGTTGGTTGCTATTGGCTAAAGGTGCAGAGGGGAAAAAGAAAGCGGAAAAGCTCGGCATGTCTGGCAATGCATGCAGCGCGGACGGGGAACCAAGATAGCTCTATAGCTTTTTTGTATAACCGCTTGGACATGCGTGTGTGTGCGTATATGGCGTGGGTGGCAGTGGCCGGCCCTTTTTTCCCCACTAGTGCGCAGGCAACGGCATTGTTAATCACTGTTGCACTTGTAGTGCCTCATCCGGGGTAAAGTCAACCTCAAATGAGCATACAACAACATTAAACAATCCTAAAACAAAATAATGGGACTACAACAAGAATAACAGCGGACCGCCTTATATCCGTCGAGCTTTGCGGCACAGCAGGCCAGAAGCACTACTGGAACCTCCCCGAGCGTGTTCGCCTTAAGCACGCCAAGCGTTTGCCCGACCGGGAGCCCCAAGATACACCAAAACAGATCGGCGTGTAGCACTCTTTTCACTGTCTAGAAGTACTTCAGGAGTTTTGGGGCATCCAACATGGCGTCTCTTGGAGCCTTGTATCCAGGCTTTGCTCATCACCACCCGGGACATTACATCCTCACCGGCCATCACAATCCCTACTTTTACAGTGCTAGGGAGATGGCGTATGCCAGCCCGATGCAGCTGGGAATGCTGGCCCCGATCGACCGCCGGGAAGCCCCCCAGAAGCCACCCTACTCCTACATCGCCCTAATCGCCATGGCCATCCGGAGTGCCCCGGACAAGAAGATCACCCTGAACGGCATCTACCAGTTCATCATGGACCGATTCCCTTATTACCACGACAACAAGCAGGGCTGGCAGAACTCCATCCGCCACAACCTCAGCCTAAACGACTGCTTCGTCAAGGTGCCCCGAGAGAAAGGCAAGCCGGGCAAGGGCAACTACTGGTCCCTGGCCGTCAACTGCGACGAGATGTTCGAGAACGGTAACTTCCGGCGACGGAAGCGGCGGCCCAAGTCCGCCAACGGAGCCAAGGGTCAGGGGAGGGAAGACATGCAGAAGGAGGACCAGTCGGCAGACTCCTCGGATCAGACATCCAAGATGGAAAGCGGCACAATGTCAGGGCGACCCGCAGAGGGTCCGGACCAAAGTCACAATTTCGCACGCACACGACAACTAAGCGAACTCAGTGACAACGGAGCCGTGAAAAGCGACGGAAATCGTGTGGAGGTCTTCAACAGCTGCAACGCTGAGCACGGTGCACGCGACGTCGACAACGACATCAGCGACGACAGCGACCCGGGATGCTTTGCAGACGACCGAACGATGGCAGCAATGCCGAAGCCAATCGACCAGGTAGCCCTTCCGTTGACCCCAGTCCAAAGACTGCCCCCTGGTTCACCCTCGTTGCCGGCCGTGAAGTCGGAAGAGCGCAAAACCAGGAGTTCCTTTTCCATCGAGAGTTTGCTGGCGACGCCGGCAAACGACCGAGAGCAGCAGCTCCCACCGAGTCGCAAGAGACCCTGCCCCCAAATCAACGACAATGACGACGACAACGACGAAGACGGGCCCTACTGCAAGCGACCCTGCCACCGAAGTCACGACGAATGTGGCCATAGCAAGCTCCTCCGGGCTCTGCCCACTGCAACTGCCGAGCGTCACCCTCAGGCATTCCAAGCACAGGGGAACGGCGGTGGGGCGTTGCCGCGGTCGGCCGGGGAAGACTTCTGGCAGGGAGTCCGCTCGGCGGAAAAGGTCGGTCTCTCCCCAGAAAAGTTTCTGGCGGAAACGTCGTTGCGGTACCGGACTTATTCAACCTTAAGCGGGACAGGCCAGAGAGACAGCGGCTACTCTGCCTACCGAGTGCCGTCAGCGGCCGCTTTGTCCCCCACACTCCATTTCCCTAACCCGGCCACACCAAATAGAACCTGGCCATACAGTCCGTACATATCACCGCTCATCTTATCCCACCAGCAAGCTGCAGCTTCTCTGGTATCCTACCACTGAAGACTCACCAAAATTATGACTGTAAACTTTCTACTCTGTGCACTGAAACCCTGCATCGGTCCTACTTTTTTAACCCCCCCCGCCCGCCGGAAGCTTAAAGTCTGTTTGTAAGCCAATATATTTTGCGATGACATGTAGGCCTAATTCATTCTGTAAATAATTGTAAATTTGATTGTGCATTGCCAGATTGAGTGAATATTTCATTTATACTTTTGCCGTGATATCAGTCTCACCTAAAAAATGCTTGGCTTTTCACTGAAATTCACTTAGTTTACCTCAAGCTGAGCGGCTTCGAGTAGAAAATTAGTAACACAGAAATAGCTGGAAATCCAATTAATTTATCTGATATAGCTAAACACCACAGCCAAAATTAAAAGGTCCAAACAATTACTCAGTTTTTAAGTTCCAAACAGTTTTAATGTTAAGTTAAATAACCCTAAACAGTAGTTCCCAAACATGAGGAAATATCAATTACTACGATTTTATTGGCTTATTTTGAGTGCAAAAATAATGACAGCTGAAATGCATGCATGTAAAACTTAATGTCCCAACAGTTTGGGACATTAATAATTAAACCAAAAAAGAACAGAATTTAATTGATCATTCGATCAATTAAATTCTGTTCTTTTTTGGTTTAAGTTCATAAACCCGTACTAGTTGAAACATTTAAAGATTAATTAAATTGTACGCTGCGTGGTCCCATCAAGGTTTGAATATCAAAAATAAAATCTATAGGGATTTTAAATGATTTGTAATCAACAGCTCAGCCTCTTTGATAAGGAAAAAAATTGTGATGAACTTTGACTAATGTGGAGTCTTGAGAAATGTGTCAGTTTTTATGTCAGGGTTTTCCCCCAAGGTGCTTGGATGACGTATTCGTAAGTTAAAAGTTATAGTCAGCTACACCATATATGCATATCAAACGCAGATGTGAGCCCACTAATAGTTAAGATCATCTATTTATTAGAAGCATGTATCTTGATATGGTTATGTTGACTAAATGTGAAAAGCAAGGTGACTATGCCTAAGTATATGTCTGGAATTGGTAAATGAGAAAAACAATCTCCGATTCTTGTTCTGAAGTGGTCAGAAAATCAGCCATTTCCTTCTCGCCGTCATTTTTCAGGGTAGCAACTTAAATGCATGCAAAAGATGAACTCGGTACAGCGGATTAAGTTAAGTCTGGTTTCACTGGAAAGTACAATAGAAAAATGTACACACACAACCAAGGCCGCCAATCGCCTGAATAGTTTTATCTTATTCTGAATTAAAAAAACAAGATGTATGGCAAAGCTGAAATCTTTTCCGAATAATGGACTTAACCTCTCCATCTGCTGAAATTATACAGAAATACAAGGACCAACAAAGTTTCATTTAATTTAATTTGGGAGGGTCTTCTTTCTAGCCAGAAAAGCGGAGAATAACCAGACTGCCCTTCTTTTAGATGCAAAGGCAATCTTCCAAATACGAGTGAATCATTTCGAACGCAGAATTCATGCTCTCACAATTCCTATTTTTCACAAGTTTTATGACTTTGCTGTGCGACGCTCGGGGTGTAAGAAATTAGTAAAGTCTTCATATTTCACCTCTCATTATTCTTTGTCATTGAAATCTCGAGAGTATCGGTTTCAAATTCACGTGAGAAGTACATAGGCGGACGTCATTTGAAATAAAACAGAACCTGCTCGAAATGTATTAAGGGTCAAGTCTGAGATGTTGTAAAACATGAAGACGGTTTGCACGACTACAGAATGTCGTTCCTAGCGACCGAAGGATTGACACTCCGTTGTACACAATCGTCTCTACCAATAGAATCTGAAAAAAAAAACCTGTTATACATGCGAGAGTGATTCCTTCGGTTCCATGAAACAGACCGAGAAATGATCTTCAATTCTGAGGTGTTCAGGTCAGATGTGAAAATGGTTCTACCAAGTTTGCGGGGCAGACCTGTGGATGACGCCTGGCATTTGGTCAGAAAATCAGAGACTTATCGATTTAGCCTTTTCAACTCAATAATTTGCATGATACAGGCAAAGACTTCAGCATGAACGACATTGTAAAGGAGTACTGATTTGCGGGATTTTAATAGTTATGGTTTCATGCCTTGAGGTTATCAAATTATGGCTCGTCTCTCAAATTAGGGGAAAAAAAGAGTTTTTACTCAACGACGCTGACAAACTTCCCATTTCCTCCTCAATGCAAAAGTATAACGTCATTACAAAGTCGTGTTTCTGTTGGCTGTCTTTTTGTCGGCTTTTTCCTCAAATATAGTCCAACTTTAGCACCAACGTTTATTTGTGTACTTTTTGTGCCCGACATAATTATGTAAATCTGGGTGTTTTTGTACAAATCAAAAAGAAATCAGGTGTCCATTTGTTCTGCAGAATCTAAGTTAACCAATATGAAATACATTTACAGCCCAAATTTATGAAAAACCCCAAAGAAAGAATGCTTTGTCAGAACCAAAATTTCTTTCTCAATTGAAGTAGGTCCTTTGAGATCTACGCAGCAATTTAGAAATTGACATGTTCTCCCTCGAATCAAATTTTGATATCGGAACCTAATTTGTTAATAGCGCCAACTAATCTGATTCCCAGTGGGTGTGGCCATTTAGAGATACAGGTGCGCCTGCCCGATAAGGTTTAACGATGCAAATAAGTTAAAGTTGGTGGGAAGACCGGAATTTTGTAAACGAAGTTCAACGTGATCTGTCTTCGAAGGACACATACCATTGCCATGCATGGCCAAACCACGCCAAATATGACTTATCGCAATCGCGTTAATTACAAAACGCTCCGCAGCGGTGATAACACGCCATGATAAATGACGAGGCCAGAAAATCTCTCTCTGTTTTCCCTTTGACATTCGCTACCCTACTGCACGCACACACATGGCGACCAGATCGTAGGCTCTACACCAGCGCTGTCACCAGCTCGTCTCTGCAAGGGAAAAAATTACCTAAATATTTCCACTTTATTTGACTGTTTGGACGTGGGAATGTGAAACAATTTATAGTCACTGCGGAATCTTCTCCAAAATATTTTGGAAACATTGTGGGCCATCATTCTTCGAAATCATATTCTTTTTTTTTTCCTCTAGCCATGTCTAGCTCTCTCTGTCATTTTTCTCTCTAATCATGCCAGAGATGGCCATCCGCACCGCTATTTTTGTTAGGGTCCTCTGGGCCAGTCAGCTTGCTGGAATGTTTGCATTTGTTTGTTATGTTTACCCTAGTAAGATTACATTCGGCCAGAAGACGTTGGAAAATATGTATATTTTGATTTCCTAATGGTAGAGCTTGACATACATAATTTATGAGTTAGAGATAAATTACCAGAAATGTCGACAGAGTCTATGGCTTGATGATTTAAAACTTCAGATTTTTTTTTCTCACTCGGGTGGTGTTTTTTCGAGGTTCTTCTCTCGCCCTGTCGTTTTATTGAGAAAGAAAACGCTTGCCTAAAGAAAACAACACCACTTTGATTTAATTCCCTTATTGGCCAGCTTGAATAACTGACATGTTTGACGTGCCCAAAGAAAAGAACCGAAGTTGTCAAAAGCTTCGAAGTCCTGAAGGCTGAATAAAAACACTTGATATTTTCACAAGGAAATTCCTGACTTGTTTGTGGTGTTTGAAAAAAGGAGCCTTTTCTTCGCCATTTCTTTTTCAACAGGATAATAAAGCGAAATGACGCGGGCGCTGTTGGAACAGTGAGATCTGCCTCGCTACTGCTTGCCTTAGACGCGGACTTTATGCTGCCCGCTCGAAAGAACGGGAAAAAAATTAGCATGGCTGTATTTTGACTCGCTGTTTAAACCTTACAAACACAAAAACACGATTCATGGCGGGCCCACGAGTCGACGCTCCCCGTGAAAACATCGTTAGGATTGCCGGTATTGTTCCGGTCAATGCTGCTGCTTTTTCCTATACTCCGTGCACCCCCCCCCTCCAAAAAAGCGACACTCCGAGCAAATGCCTCTGGGCCACCAGGGAATCAATCTCGCGGAGCACAAGAAAACAGGCAAACCAACAATTCTCATTCTAGACTTACTGCTCTTTTTTTATATCGACTGTCGACTTGTCTTTTTTTCTCTCCAATTTCTTTTTCGCTTTTTTTATTGAGAGAGAGAGGGAGAGACAGAAAGGAACACACACCATGGACCGTTTATTTGCATTTGCAGCCGGTTTACCCAAGTTGTAACATCCATTTTGTGTGGGGGGTTTCAAATATTTGGGAGTTCTGAATCGACCGAGGAAAAACAAATACGGGCACCGGTGGCCGCGGGAAAAATTGCCCGGTGCTGGGTTTGGGACAAAAAAGGGGGAAAACCTCGCCCGGGGGACATCCGCGCCCCTAGCCGTACAAGCAAAGAAATATTAGGGGTTTATAGAGAAAGCAACGAGCCTGCGTGACCAAACAGCCTTATCGTGGCAATCATAACATGCAGGCGATAAAGGCTGGCCCAACCACACGCGAGAAGACACTAGAGCCACAAGTTCTCCTTCCCTTGCAGATGCTCACAGGCAAAAACGCAAGCACCCCCCCCCCCCGAAAAATAATCAATCTCAGATATGGCACATGAAGTCATAATTCGCCAAACAAACCCAGCACAGCTCCAGCCGCGCGAGAAATATTTTGTCCCATGCACCCGTGGATATTTCATCTCTCACTTATAGCGCATGACTCGGGACTATAAACAAACAGCGCTGGTGTTTCTAAACATCGACAATAAGGGGTAAGCAAGCGGCCCTCCGCCACCCAAGACGGGACCAGCCGCTGCTCCAGGTCTCGGGGATAAACACAGTCATGGTCTTATTTACCTCCAAATCAAAGCATGACGGAGAAGAAGTTTCGAGAAAATGCACCAGGAAAAGACGAGACCATGCCCCGTCGGCGTGTGATTACGCAGTGATTATTATTAAGACATTCGCCGTTTGGTATACGGCAGTTGATGGTGGAGACAGGAAACTTGGCGCGTTTGAAGTGGATTGTCTGATGTGAAGATGACTTTGACAAAAGAGATGAGAAATGAGGAGAAACGAGGGGAAGAAGAGATGAAAGAAAACAAATTAAAAGAATCCGTAAACATTCGCAAAAATGTTTATGGAAAAGCTAAAAATCTCTTAAAGCAACGATTTCTAAATACGAATACGAAAAAACCCACCAAACTTCAACTGTTGATCTTTGAAAAGCATAAACAAAAGAGATGCCATTGATCAGTGCGACCTCTGTTAAGAAAATAAAAGTTAGCTTCATTTCCAAAGAATGAACTTTTTCTCTAGCAAAGAATTTCCCAATTCTTCCAAAATATTTTTTTTTAATTTAAATTTAATAACTTCACTGACACCGTCAATGCAACACACAATGGGCAGACACGATTTCGAATGTGATTCAAGGATTCGCATTAATCATTCTAACTTCAATTTAACCGTTTTGGGGCGACAATGAAGTTGTTATGGAGGCCTACTAGAAAGGGATTCATCTGGACAAGAAACAAAAGGTCAAACACGAAAGAAACTGTGGGGTTAAATCGGTGTTAAATCCACACCACTGGATTGCAGTATAAGACATCAAGGGTCTGGGCCATACCTTAA